AAATATATATATATAATACGTATATATTATGTAAAAAATAATATTTATACATATATAGTTTTTGCAATTAATTTTTGTTTAAACATTCATCAATTAAATATGTTATAATACACATATTATTTATTTTATTTCATATTATTATAAAACATTGGCAAATGATTGTTTTACAACATTTTTTTTTGGTAATTTATTACTCTTTGTTTTTTCTATTTTATTTATTAAAATTTTCTTACTCGCATTAACTATTCTATAATTATTAACAACAATTATTTCTTTTTTCACAAGATAGGAATATAATACAAAATATAAAATATAAAATGAAATAAGAAAACTACGATTGATTGATTTTGTTAAAGTTCGAAAGGTGGTTGTAGTAGTACTAACGCCCATCGTTATTTTTTAATTGTAATAAAAATAAAACAAAGAAAACAAGAAAATGAAGAAGTTGAATAAAGAATAACAAAAAAAAAGAAATATATCGAACTAACAATAAGTTTGTTTTTTTTGGTTTTTCATAACTTTTTCATTATATTCATTTATCGTTGTTTGACGTCAATTTTACTGTAACATTACAAACAGTACTCCTCTTTGTATTATATTTTTCTTTTTATTTTAAATAAAAAAATAAAAAAAAAAAAATAAAAAGAAGAAGAAGAAGAAGAAGAAGAAGAAGATGAAAAAAAAAATACAAATAAAAAATAATCATAATAATGTTATGATATCAAGTCTTCATGTTGTTTGCATTATTATTCTTCCTCAAATAATTCTAATCAGTGATTCATACATTTTCAAGGAAATTTTATTGAGTATTCATACGAGATTATATTATATTATCGAATATGTGTGTATATAAAAGTATTATAAACAAAATGTTGAAATATATGTATAGGGTGTTCTATAATTGGTGATATTACATTCAAAATTTATATTCCATTTTTTCTCGGTTTCCCTTTTAGTCGCCTTTTACGACAAGCAGGGATTACTGGGGGGGTATTCTTCCCCGCCACCCCCACGGGGTGCTTAATTTATATTATTTATATTATACATATATTATTATATATATTATATATTATTATATTTTTCTAATTTATATATATATATGTATTATTTTATTTATAAATTATATATAATATTATGTATTTAATATAATTTTTCTTTTTTAATATATAAGTTATATTTATTTAATTTATATTATATAAAATTATATATATATACATAT